CACTGCCCTCTGGTACATCGCGAAAACTTTCTTCCTCTTCATCACCTGTGTCTGAGTCCTTGACATCGTCCATCCTCTGGAGCAATGTCCTGTAGCTGTGGTCACCAATAGCTTTCTTGCAGCTGCTGGAGATTCCCTCCACCTCCTCGACCTCTCCATTACTACAGGAATTACAAGAGGACGATACATTATCCACTTTACTGCTGTCTGGTGTTGTTTTCTTTATTTCTTCAACATTAATCTTTGAGTTGGAGGTGATTTGGCTTCTGTGTGGCATCCACCAAGCTGTCTGGCATATCTGATTCCCTTTCTGGAATGTTACCGTTGCTTGTTGAGTCCAGAATTTGATTCGAGTGCTTCTTGGTTCCAGATTTTCTTCGGCTTTTGAAACTCAGGTCCCGGTATTTGCAGAGCTGCTGCTTGACACGTCTGACTTGTTTGACGGGAAACATCTTGGTGATTAGCCTGAGGAGCAGCCCGCCTTGGTACAACGAGCACGTAGGCATGGACAGCTCGCTCCTCTTTCTGTTTCTGTTTGGTCTTTCAGCATCGCCTGCTTCAGCGGGATCGCCGCCTCACTATTTTACTAGTTCTTCAGTCAAAGATAGCGAAATTTGGTTGGGGAGCGCAACAACAACAACGGACAACGTGCATATTACAGGGCAATGGACCAGAGGGCAGGAGAAATGGTATTCGAACAAGAAGGAGATGTTCGTCGTTTACTTCGCCCCGAAACAACTGTCAAAAGATCTCCCAGGTGCTCATGTCTTACTTCAGACAGATCTGCCTAGTTGCCTACATGAGGAAGGAGGGGGTGACCAGATCGCTGGGCCTGCTAGAACTGACACAGTTTATTCTAGACATAGACTTGTTCGCGTCTGCAAGACTAGCAGTGGTCCGCAGCTACGTCTCGCCCGACTCGAGCCATCACTTCGCCTGGTACATCGGCTCATTCAGCCAGCCACGGGACAAACTGGGTATTCTCTCTACCAAATCTCATATCGAGAGGCCGAACAAATGTAAACAAGTGCAAGGGACACTGCTAGGGGGTTGCACCCGGATGGAACCAGAGGTTCTGGATGGCAGACCTGTCCAACCGGACCACGGAGCGTCCACTACCAATCGTGGACCTTCAGGGGGGCCTCATCAACCTCTCACCGGTCAAGCTCCCTCTCAGGTGGACAGATCAATCTACAGGCGTGGAACGTTGAAGCGGAGCTACTCTGACTTGCATTCCAGCAAGAATCTTACTGGTGAGAGTTTCTATGAAGATAGACACCGGCGCCACCGTGATAGCTGGAGATCACTCCCATAGACTAAAGGATGGAAGAGGGGAGGTGGAGGAGGCAGAAGGAGAGGGAAAAAAAGAAGAAAACGACGAATGTTCAACAGTCTCTCTCAATAGGGATGCTGTGTATCGGCTCTCGCATATAACCCGTGTTTCGCGGTACTTCAAAACACCAGCAATTTCTGAAAAAAGAACAGTGTCAGCATGCCGGGGAACACTTCAAGTAAATATATAAATCTATTTATTTTAAGTGTATTTGGTATGTGATCCTAGTATGTTCGATTTTAATCGTTATATCGATTAAAAATTGATTATTTCCACTTTGAATATCTATTATTCAACTTTAACTGACACAAAACCCTTTATCTTCAATAACTGCACTCTCCATTTCATAAACGGCTGGAGAATTTGGAATACTTCGCAGCAAAACGTGAAAGTCCTGAGAGATCCTCATCCCTCACTATGCCCCTGCTATTATTTTCGATGTTCTCAGATTTTTTTCGGATCATATCAAAATCATAGTGCATAGTTAGATAAATCGAAATATTTTGTTCAGAGGAAAAAATTAATGACTGTGTAGTAGCCGGGTTAATTGAGACCAACCTGGGCGACTAACAAGCAATTATGTTTCAGAGAGACACTTCTTGGATCGACGGTCTGTGCACAGTGATCAAGTCTGATACAAGAACGTCTCAATCCTGTAAAGAGAAGAAACCACTAGAGAGCTTATCTAGCTGAGTCCTTGGTCCGATGAAGAAGAGATACAATTAGAGAGCCAGATAGTAGAGTTCTTAATCCGACAGAGAGGTACCATTAGAGACAGTAAAGTTCTCAATTTGACAGAAGAGAGGTATGAGTAGAGAGCAGTCCTATTGGCTCCTCAGATCCAGAGGATGGGAAGAGAGAGGTAGCGGCGGTGAAGGCTGTGTAGGTCAGACATGGGCAGAGTGCGCTCAATGGGCTCACCTAGCTCCCAACCCCAGTTACACCAATGAATATAAAGAGTGGGTCCTATTGTATTGTGCAGGTAATCGGAGGAGTCAGACCACGATGCTTGGGTCAGAGTGGGGTATCGTTACGTCAGTCAACGTGCAAAAATTTGAATTTTTGAACGATTTTTTTCTACATCAACTTTCGCATAAAACTCCGTTGAATGAAACCCTCGGAATTGAATATTTCGGCAGCGAATGGATTGAAAGACATTGGTGGAAGGATTTCTCAATTTTTGTTAATATTGTTTGAACAGTTCCTAAGCAGTACTTGATAAATTTTAAAGATTTTTGACTTTTAAAAAGCACAAGGAACCAAAAAATATGAATTCCATCATTTCATGTTTTGTTGACTTTTTTTTCATTATATCGATCCCACTATTTAGCATTAAAAAATTCATCCATATCCAATTAACCACGAAAATGAATAATTACTGCAGAAAAACATAAAAATAATTAGTTGCTGAGAGTGATCGGTAATCGGAAAAAAGGTAATTGAAAAATGTTCACAGATTAAAAAATGTGTGATCTAGCTAAGAGTGGGCAAAACTTATAAAATAAACCTTACATTCATGATTTATTGAGTGAATTTTAAAGAACTGACATCATATATTTTTTTCAATTTAGCTAAGCGAGAAATAATCAATTTCTGGCACCACGATGTTTCAACAATTACCTCCGATACAACTAAGGTTTTTTTCCCGTTCAATTGGTGAAAATTTGTTCGGATTTTTAGGCGGCAAGATTTTTTTAATTTTAAAAGAGAGCACGCGGCGCCCTCTCTGTTCAAGCGTGCCCCACTTTGCGCCGTTGTTATTCCTACCCTGACTACGCTGGGCTTCCCGCAATTGGGGTATAGTATTTCTAATAATGGGTCTAATCGGAATTTATGGCCCCGGTTTGCGCAGTTACGACTGTGCCCATGCCTGATCTAGGTATTGAGCTCTCAATTCCAAGAGGAGAGAGCGCCATGGTCTGCAAGAAGGCTGAGAGAACTTAAGCGAAGCGCTTAGAGGGCCAGCCAGGGAGTCCAGTCCTCAAGGCGAGCTAAACACCAACAGAGATTGAGTGTTTGTTGTGCAAGGCCTTATATAGTCCGAAATGGCAGGAGGAAAGTGGGGGTAGAACATCGTATGGCGTACCCAAGTAGGGTTTGCCAATCGTCAATCATTGGACCAATGCTTGGTTAAGATCTGGCGTACATACTATTGTAACCCAATAATGGGCAAAGATTGGTCCAATTCATGGAAATCCACCCATTGAACGCCAATCTTTAACCATAGTATGGACCAACATTGACAAACCAATCATCGGCATACCATCTATAGGCCAATAATAGGCCAAGAGTAAAAACGTCGACGATAGGCGCTTCCATGTTTGGCCG